GAGTTTTGTTAATGTGCCGCCCGCAGGCGAGCCGACGGTTAAGGGTGGAGGCACATTGAGTGATTCTGTGGCACAGTTCAATAATACTCGTTATTTGTATGATAGAGATATTTAATACCCAAATTTTAAAACACTTTCCATGTAAGATAAATGTTCAATTGGCGCATGGTGGCGGTGGTATCACGTATAATAGTATTTCCAAAGAGGGTTGACGTCAGGCAGACGGCTGGTCATACAACATTACCAAATCATTTGCAACATGATTCTGTGTTTAAAAAAAAGGAGTACGCGCGGTTAGCCAACTTGCTCGTTTTGCAAACCGGCGCGATTCGCCAACTCGCTTTCTGCCGACTGGCGTGCTAGGCCTACTAACGCCATTCGCCGACTGAGCTATTGGTAAACTATAGCTTCAGTGTACAGTCAATTACACATTTTTTAAACATTTTTTATATTTTGGGATTAGGGAATTTTAGCATGTGAGGTATTTTTTTTTTAAGTTTGCATGTGTAAAAAAATGTGATTCAGGTTTTAAAGTTATTCAGTTTTAAAAGTTATTCAGTTTTGAAAGGTGTTTAAACTGGAAAGTTGTTCAGTTTTGAATGTTGTGAGTTTAAAAGTTGTTCAGTTTATAAGCAACATTTAAGCGCTAACAGCGCTAACATCACAGATGAGATTGTAAGTCTATGGCTATACATATGCATGTGTAACGATGACCTCTCCGATGATCGCTTGTCTGACAGATGTCATGTTGAGCGTCGCATCACGCGTCTATTCTGTGGAGCTTGCCCCGTAGAGACAAAGCTACATATTTGAGACGCGTGTCGCATCGAAGACGGTTGACGGTCACTTTTGTGACAGATGCCATCCCACGCGTAACGACGCACGTCTTCTCTGTGGAGCATACGCTTTAATTTTGTTCAGTTGTTCTCTTGATAAGTTTATCCCTAGTAGGTATTCAAAATTTCATATCATGCCATATTACGTTCTCGTATTAAATTTTCTTTTGTACAATAATACAGATCCATAAACTATTATTATGTTCACTGTACATCATGACAGTTTGCTAACTGCGCAGTCGGCGAATGGCGTAAGTAGGCCTAGCACGCCAGTCGTCAGAAAGCGAGTTGGCGAATCGCGCCGGTTTGCGAAACGAGCAAGTCGGCGAACTGCTTCCAGACCAAAAAAAAAACGTATTGCGCCGACCCCAAGTAATTGAGATAAGGGCAGGAAGACGATAGTATGTAAAATTTTTGAAAACTTGCAAAATTTTCCACCGCAGGCTGGATTTGAACCAGCGACTTCGCCATCTGCACTGACGACGACGCTTCTACCAACTGGTTCTACCAACAGCTCACTCTAAGCCCTCGAAGCTGTAGCCCAGTTGGTAGAGACGTCGCCAGTACAGATGGCTAAGGTCGTTGGTTCAAATCCAGTCTCCAAAACAAAATTTTGCGAGTTTTCAAGAGATATTTAATTGAACCCAGACATATTATCAAACGGTGCCACTTTATGATTTGAAACGAAACTCATGCTTTTTTCAGTCCTTCCACTTACCAATGCATCATGCTAATAATTTATGAATAAATGGACCACCACCGTAACTTTAAGTCATGCTATTGACTAATGGTTTGTCTTAGTAAAATACCCAAAGAGTACAAACAATTAAACATTGAACAACTTCATTACTTTAAACATCAGACGTCTTTATATACTTACCTGCTTATTACCTATTTAATAACGGGTTATCGCACCAAACATTAAAAATATTTCTCTTAGTGTGCACCAAACCTTCGCAGGCTAATAATATGAAAGCGCTTAGTACTGAAAAAGGTGCAATAAAAGAAAAATGAACTGTCCGTGAAACCGACTATGGGCACTGTCGATTTCGTAAAAGATAGTCTACCCTCAGAATTTTCCGTGTGGTGCCGGCTTAGAGTAGCATCACCCCATATCTTTCGACTAAAGGCTTTGAGAGTTGTTGCGTATTGCAATTTTAGACAATAGGCTAACAACCTGTCGCTTGGTGCTAACACAGTCTTCTGAATGACTCTCAAACTATTGTCAGGCCTAGCGTCAATGACCATTATTTACAGCCGTTTACGCTCTGTCCAACCTGCAAGGGCTGTAGGCGTGATATATGTAGGTATCTATGTATGTTGCTTCGTCCAATTTGGAACTCTCAAAATAACCAGCCCAAACTGGCTGGACCAATTCAATTTTTAACTTCACGACACAACCGACCAGTAGAAATACGAAAACAGTACAAAAACAGGGTGAAACGAGGCAAATTAAAGATATGTGGTTGCGCCTCGACTATAAAGAAACAACAATTAATAAAACAGCAAAGGAATTTGACTAAAACATACATAATACTACACATACATATATTATCATGCCTACATCCCTTGTGAAGTAGGTAGAGCGTAAATGACTGTAAAAACGGCAATGTAGGTACACCACATCTGACAAATGTTTGAGATTCATTCAGACGAGACGAAAGTGTATCACCATATACAAAGGTTTTCAGCCTGTCGCCTAGACTTGCAGTACACTTCAACTCTTAATCGCTTCTTACGATACCCAGGAAAAGATATTCTATTTCTATTTCAGCCTATTGCAGTCCACTGCTGGACGTAGGCCTCCCCCAGGGAACGCCATAAGGCACGATCTCCCGTTTTTGCCATCCAGTCGCTACCAGCCGCCTTTTTCAAGTCATCGGTCCATCTGGCCGGAGGGCGTCCAACGCTACGCTTGCCGAGGCGTGGCCTCCACTCGAGAACCCGCTTACTCCACCGTCCGTCGGTTCTACGACAGATGTGGCCAGCCCACTGCCACTTCAGCTTGCTACATTTCCAGACTATGTCCGTCACTTTGGTCTTTTTTCGGATGGCCTCATTCCGGACTTTATCCATTATAGAGATACCAAGCATAGACCTTTCCATAGCTCTCTGAGTGACATGTAGCCGGTGGGCCAGTTTTACTGTCAAGTTCCACGTCTCGGCTCCGTAGGTCATGAAAGATAAGGTGCCGTGTGGTGTCGGCAGAGTAGAATCTCACCACCCCAAATCTGCCCGTGGGTATCGTAAGAGGCGATAAAGGGCTTCCGGGAGGTGGGCAGCAGCGCCTCCCGTGTTGACAACATAGTCCACAAACGCAAACTGCGGTCACCAACCCGCCTGCCCAGCGTGGTGACTATGGGCAAAACCCCCCATGGACAGGACGAGAAAAAACCGGCCCCTAGTTCCCGGCCGCCTTACTACCCCGGGCTACGGTAGCGGCCCGGGTAATGGTAGGGCAGGGGGTGCGAAGAATCCCCGGGCTACGGACTACGGCTGCCATAGACTGACCCTGGCGACGTATAACGGACGCAGTCTGCGGCTGGACGAAAGTCTCCAAATCCTTGAGGTAGAATTAGATAAGATACGGTGGCATGTTCTGGGATTGTCAGAAATCCGAAGAGAGGGGGAGGACACGATAACCCTAGAATCAGGTCACCTATTCTACTTCAGGGAAGGGAGCGCACAATCCCAGGGTGGCGTAGGGTTCCTTGTCAATAAAGCTCTCTGTGACAACGTGGAGGAGATCAGCAGCGTCTCGAACAGGGTAGCGTACCTCGTACTGAAGTTGACCGAGAGGTACTCTCTTAAGGTCGTACAGGTATATGCGCCGACTTCGAGCAGCTCAGATGAAGAGGTGGAGGCCCTATACGACGACGTGTCGAAAGCCATACACCAAACCACTAAGACCCACTTCACTGTTGTCATGGGGGACTTCAACGCTAAAGTGGGACAGGAGCACGGCGAATCAAGCTTGGGACCACATGGCTACGGGAGCAGAAACCAGAGGGGCCAAATGCTAGTCAACTTTCTTAGCAGGCAGGGGCTGTTCTGTATGAACACCTTTTATCAGAAAAAGCCCCAACGGAAGTGGACCTGGAAGAGCCCTGACGGCAGGACGAAGAACGAGATCGACTTCATCATGACGGATAAACGGCATATATTTAGGGATGTCTCAGTGATCAGTAGGTTCAATACCGGAAGTGATCACCGACTAGTAAGAGGCACCCTAAATATCAACTTCAAGCTAGAAAGAAACCGCATGGTGAAGCAAGTTCTCCGTCCCAATCTGCCCCAAGCCGGACATGAGGAGTTCCAACTTGAACTGAAAAATCATCAAGGAAAAGATATGGGGTGATGCTATTCTAAACCGGCAACGAACATCATAAAAAAACAGCAAAGAAATTTGACTAAAACAAATCTAGAAAGATACCTATCAAATATTAAGCCAACCAGTACAACGATGAAAAAGTTAACAATTGCAAAAAATTATTGAATTTTAATTCCTGCTACTCTGACTCTACGAATTGTAAAACAATTAGGTGAATCAGGATATGAATCTAGCTATTTTAGAGTGGTCAATGAATGATTCTATTTGAAATGTATTTTCTGAACGTATTACGAATTATTCATGACAAAAGTACTCTATCTAAGTATCTACTCAACAGATTACACATATCTTCATATTTTTTTTTCATGAGATTAACCAACTTTAAAAAAGTTTACAATAATTAGAAAGCTGTTTTCATATCCTAAAAAACAACATTCAATAGTATTCTCTAGACGCCGATTCTCAGGAAATTGTCATTAAACTACCCTATCTCTCCATTCCCGTTTTATCAAAGCAGTTAGACTTTAACCTAAACAAAAATTGTGTACCAATTCACGAACGGCCCCGGTCTCCCCTGTCGCTTTCCATTGCCATTTTCAGCCGTAACTTCGGGACGTTAGAGTGTATTTTGGAGTGTACCCGCGTGTCCTTTGGCAAAAAGGTTTTCCTGGCCGGGGGTAATGAGGCGTATGAAATAAAAAGTACACACGACACCGCTTCGGCGGAAGGAGGTGATTCTTGAAGCGTTGAAATAGATGTATTGGAATTTTAAATGCACTCACAGCGCAATATTATTCTCATAAATTGTAAATGAGAAAATTGAAAAATTCACTAGCGACCGCCGGGACTTGAACCCGGCAACTGTGGAGTGCTGTTCCATCGCTCTACCAACTGAGGTACGGGCGCCTAGCGGACCCTGGTGAATCTTTCAACCTCTTGATGGATCATTTTTTCAATTTTCTCATTAGGAATATAAATGGGTTCAGAAATCATGCACAATATCAACTCATACATAAAATTGATTTCTTTAGCCCACGATCTAAAAGATTAATATAATCAAATGAAAGGTTACAAGCCTACAATGTTAGAAATACCTATTCAGAATTTAGTATTTAAATTATTTCTCACAGCAATTAAGCATAAAAACTTGATCATATTTTCAATTTTCGGAGAAACCGTCTTAAATCCAATCAGTTGTTGATTATTAGAAAAAAATAGGAGTCTGAAATCAAATTCTATTGCCAATGGTAAATCGAATGCTCCAAAAGTCAGTCCCTACTACAGTCGCTTTGAAAAAGGTCGATAGACATTTAGGTTAAGTTTGCGCGATTTTCGGAAGCTTTCTTCAGGTAGTTTTGGTGGCTTTCTCGATTTATTTATTTATCGTTATGCATTTTATTTGGTCTAGTCTATTTCGATACTACTAGGACTTTTCTGATTAGGAGTAGAAGTGGTCGCCGTGGACGTAATCGGTCGGAGAGATCATCATGTATGGTATAAACACAAAATAGATATAGGTATACCTACTAAAGGTTCATTTAATCCTATTCAGGATTTTCGCGACTGCCAATTGTTACATAGATAGGGCTGCTAATGTCAAAAACCTCAAAGTAGAAGAATATCAAAACAGCAAAATCTGATACAAGAACGTCATGATTCTGAGCCATTTTAATCCAAGAAATATGACGTTCATGGCAACCATCATCTTAGTTACCTTGAGTTCCCCTGAGATTCCAGTTATTTCCAGTTAAAGTCAGTAAACGTCAAAATTGTCACTAGTACTGAGTGAGCCATCTGTAAAGGCGCTCCGCACGCCCTTACCCTAATTTGTGGTAGGTATAAGTGTGGTAAAGTCAAACTATTGATTGAACAAACAGCTAATATGTAGGTTAGATATTTATTTAATAGATATTTTTGTGCCTTTCGAAGCCCAAAACAAACGTTGTCGATGTTTCTTGTTGCGTAGAAAAGCGGTTTGTGTAACTCAAATTAATTAAACTCTAGCTTTACATACCTAGTATATAAAATTAAATAGTTTCTCTATCAGTCTGTCTGTCAGGGAATTCGTTAACTCCTCCCAAACCACGCTACGTTATGTATTTTGATATGGTTTTTTAGATAGTGCTTCAAGAGGAAGATGTGTAACACATGCCAGAAAATCGTATTTTTCCCGCGGGGAACAAGTTCTTTTGTAAACTATGCCTAGTGTTAAAATATACCTAAGATATTATTGTAATTTGTGATACCAATTTTGTGGAAATACATGGATTGTATTTGTATGTGTATATTTGTATTCATTTATCTTAACTTAGCACAAAAAATTCAACCTACAAAAACATTTTGAAACGCTTACTTCTTAGCCTTACAAAATGTAGATTCACATTTCACACCACCCTGTCTTATTAGCATTTAATATAGCCGAGCGAAAAGCTTTTGCTCGTAAATTGATATTTTGTTCCTTTGGTGTGCTCTAATTTAGCGTTCGCCATATTGTAATGTACTGTCTTAGAAATCAACTGGTATTTTGAGGTTGAAATAAAAGTGTGAATGGCTGTATGTAACACGCAACTATGGTGTACTGCAACTGACCTTTTTAAGTCAGGTTATCATTTGGACTAGGACCTGCATGTAAGCTAATTTTTTAAAGTATGAAATATTTTATTCTATATCAGTATCTGCAATCTGATGAACTAATTTGAAATAACTCTTGGCTAACAATCTATCTCCACAGTACAATTTCTTAAATGGCCTACAATATTTATCGGATGTGGCAAAAACTGCTTTTTAGGGTTTCGTAGTCTACTAGAAACCCTTATAGTTTCGTCATGTCTGTCTGTCTGTCTGTCTGTCTGTCTGTCTGTCTGTCTGTCTGTCTGTCTGTCTGTCTGTCTGTCTGTCTGTCTGTCTGTATGCCGCGCTCTCATATCTTCGTCAGTTTTAGAGCTATCAACATGAAATTTGGTGAGAAGATAGATCGTGTTGACCCAAATATGGAAATGTTAAGAAAAAAATATTTTAAATGTTTTTTGGACCCCCTCCCATACAAGTGAAAGGAGGGCAAAAAAATTTTTTTTCTTCTGTAATATTAAGTAGGGTATCGTTGAATAGGTCTTTTAAAACTAAGGGGAGGTTTCTTTGAAACAAAGTCAATAAAATGTTTCTGTCACGAGATATATGCTTTTAAAAAGGGCGTTTTTGACCCATAATTTGTTCCAGCTGTAACTTCTAAAGTATAAACGCTAAAAATTTTAAATAAATATGGAATATAGCTTATAATCTGAAGTTACAATGAAAACTATAACGGATATTGTACCCTTAAAGGTTTCAGAAAAAATTGAGATTTTCTATTTGCGGTTGGTCATCATACTGCTGCTAACAAACCAGCAACAAATTAAGTTTGTAATGCTGAAAAACCTGATATTTAAACGTTGACTACGAAACCCTATTTGTGGGCGTGTCTGACACGCTCTTGGCCGGTTTTTTTTTTTACGCCTGTTGACGCTTTCCCTACCACGCAAGAAATAATGTACAGATTTTGTAACTGTACTGCACCTATATGACTAAATTTACGTAAAGAAGATTGGCTTTAATTTTACACTCAATGCAAATTTTCGCTAAGTCCTTCCTCAAGGCCCTTGGCTCTGTATAATGTGACACAATCAAAACCTCCTGACCTACTAAAAGGCCCATTCCAGTCCCTATCCCTTAGATAACTTAGGGTCCAAGTACCCAGCCCTTCGACCTATGGAAGTATGCTTTACATTTAAACTGGGGGTCTAATGTCTTTAATAGAGTTGCCAGCAGCTTTTATTTCTTCGACACCTACCTACTTTACAATTTCGTTTGTGAATTTTTACTAGTAACCGATACCGCAAACTCAGGATCGGTTGGTGATAAAGAAAAACTTTCCCCATAGAACGTATGTCGAGATACGAAAAAATAACTTTTTTAGACCTCCCACACAAAAATGCCGTTTAGCTGATTTGAGTCACTATGCGAGGGCCAATTTTTATTTTCATGTTTTGAACTATGTTCCTTGGAGAAAGTAGTTCCTTATCAACAGCCCGTCCTGCATTTTCGCTATCAGCCACTAGTGAAATTTCATCGCCACTCTATGGATTAGTCCACCTACCTATTGGTTCTCCAACATATTTTTGTGTTCAAGCAAAACATGTTGCGCCGACCCCAAGTAAAGTATAAGGGCAGGAAAATGTTACTACCTATAAAATCACACACATACTATTCCTAAATATGGCAACCTTTATCCCAGATTCCAACCCCAATATGGAGATGAGATCCTGACTCGTAATCTTCATAATAAAGCCGTTACGTTCCTATTCAGGGCACTGTTTTTCTGCCATGTAGAGCGATTTCGTTCTATATGCTCATATTATAGCAACTGTCTACCTAGGTAACGTATGATATAAATACAGAGTTTTAAGAAACGATCTACGTTCGTCTTGCAAAAAGTGACATTATTATCAGTGTATCTAAACAACTAGGTAATTAACAGAACGAATATAAAAGACGCTTTATTAATAAAAAAACGCTATTTAAAATATTTAGAGTATTTTATTACCAACTAGGTAATAATCGTCACCATCGTTTTTTGTAACAACTATAAGATCGCGGCACTGTCTAGTATTACATTTAGGCTGTTTTCACAAAATATTTCCCTCCCACAGCCATAAAAGGCGAAAAATCGTGTATGCGAACAATAAAATTTCGAAAATAAGCGATATTCAATTACCCCAAAAACATTTCAGCCATTTCCGAAATAAACTCTCTCTTGACACGTGAATGGTTAAAAGAATGATGCTTCCATACCTTCTGTGCTCCTACTCTACCTAATTTTCCTTATATTAGGCTTTCTGTTCTTTTCTACATACCTACTATACCAATAGCAAAAATTACCGTGCACGGGAGTTTCGACTACCAAAATTGGATATAATAGCCACCTACGGGCGCATCAGCGCCGACTTAATTTTGAGTAGAAGTAGTGGCCATAGCCTAAATAGGTCGAAGAGATCATCATCATATTATATTAGGCTAGAAAACATAACTAATATAATCGAGCCAATCATCATCTGCCTGCCCTTATCCCAATTTATTTGGGGTCGGCGCAACTTGTCTTTTTCTTCCATTCATCTCTATCAGCAGTCAAATCCTCACTTACGCCTTTATTTTTCATATCGTCTTTTGGTCAATGTTTACAATTATGTCTTAGTTACCTACTTAGAAATAGGTGATAGGAAAAGCACTCGTAACATCCGTTGTCGTGCTATTTTAGCGTAGCACTAACACATTTCTCTTTAACAAGCACACAAATTTCGCACTGCTCTGAAGTATTAGCACTGCTCTGTTCCAACGCAAGTATCTGTACTTCTCTGTTCCAACGAAAGTTTCTGCACTGCTCTCTTTCATTTCAACGCAAGTTTCTGTACTTCTCTGTTCCAACGCAAGTTTTTGCACTGCTCTGTTTCATTTCAACACAAGTTTCTGTACTGCTCTGTTTCAACGCAAGCTTCTGCGTCTGACAATACGGGTGAACCCCGTCAAATTGACATTTTGTTCAGAAACCAACAGCAAATTCAAGTCAGTTTACGCAGCCTGTCTAAATCCTGTCTATATGAATGCACCGCGGTAGCAAAGCAGTTTTGTATAAAAAACGCAATGAAATGCGCTAATTAGAGAGCTGACTTACTACCTTACGCACAGTGATGCAAAAGTTTTGAAAAGACTTGGAAAAATATGTCAAGGGACACCACTATCACAACGCGGTTTCCCATTGAAAAAAAGGGTTTTTAAAAGCATTCTTATAAACTGTAGACGAAACCATAATAAGTGCCAGTTAAATGTTTTGCAGGTATAAATGTCAGGTATAAGTTTTACGTGCAGTTACTGAA